ACACACACACACATACACACACATACACACAAGTGACTCTCGAAAAGGCTAAACCTCTGCCAAATGTTTCTATCCGGAAAAACAGTTGATCAGGTAATCTATTCAGAAGGCAAAAACAGACGTAAAAATTGCCAGCAAGCGTTGATCGAAGCAACTAGAAAAGTTGGCAGCTGCATCGTTGGGTAACAGACTCTAAATTACAGCCAATCCAGGCGTTCCAAGTAATTTAGATTGTATAAAATAGATTCCAGAGATGCATCCGGCCGGAGGCCCCCCTGTTATTTAATATGGTAGAAACTGCTTAGCAGCATAAAAGTGGAAAAAGAAACTTTTCAATTTTGCTGCACTGCGACCAATTCTAGTGAGTGTTTGAGTGAATGCTTCCACCTCATGCATGCGTAATTTTCGGTTCGTATTGAGTACCAAACGTCTCACTTCCTCAACTTCTTCCTCAAATGTCCTGCAAAATTTGCAAATAATTTTAAACAGCGACTGGCATTTTCCAAAAATGCTTGGTGTGCTGCTGGAACGCACTAGGTTTACCGCTGCGAATATGTATTTTCGGAACAAACTTGAAGCAGTCAGGTCATTAACTGTATGAATGGTTGTTACACGTTTCTGCATGCATGCAAATGCAAAAACACATATTGTGATGACCGATGTGTTTGTATATGTTTGGTGAAGTTTGTGTATATGTTTGGTGCACATGTATGTGTGTTTGTGTGTGTGTGTTTCTGTTTCAGTTTGGCAGCCAAGCTTTGACGCTGAAATTTTGCCAGTGGTTCCCCAGCCAAATGCCACTCCAGGACCGCAGTATCAATGCTCATGCACGTCTGAGCTCCATGTGCGAGCACGCGAAAATTGATCCAGACGGTTTTGACATAGGTTGATCCAAGCGGTCCATCTATTTGTCCAGACGGTTTTGGCATACTCAGTATTTAACACATTTAAATGCCAAAAATTTTAAGTACTTATAATGTATTTCCTGAAATAATGCACGTTCCACCAACCAGGTTGCATCACCAGCGATGATTTTCGGGAGGAGCTGTAATTCATAGTTCGGCTTTCCAACTAGACAGTTGGTCGCTCTTCCACAGCTTTGCCTAATGCTACATTGCTTGCTGTTACGCCTGCTGGTATCCTGACGTTCGTTTTTTCCTAGAAGAAAGTCACAAATCCTGAAAATAAAAAGCTTACTGAAGTGATTTTTGAAGTTTAGCAATTTGGGCGATATGTTCGGATTTGAGCACTTCGGCTGTATGATTAGGTGGACGATGCGAAACAGCGCCAACATGCTCGGCCACATATCTCTGCACCCGTTCAAAAGCATCCCGCAAAATGTCGCGCGATGTCTGGTTGTTCATCTGGAAAAAACTGGTGCCAATCTTTTGGGAGCCATGAACTTATTACATCAATCTATTAGCTCGT